TCCCCCAGCGACCTGGAAAGGAGAAGCGGGTAAAGAAAATGGATGGATGATTCATGTGATATTTCACTAATGAATGGAGCTGAATCTAATGGTATTTATTGTTTTTACCACAGATCTTTCACAATCTGTTTGTGCTTGGAGAATGTGTTGGGGATCCATCTCAGCTGCTAACACTCCAAGTGTTGGCTCAGTATCTGCAAAAATGACTTCATACCCAGTTTTAAATAATAAATAAAATGAAATAAAACACAAACCCTAAAGATAAAAAAAATTAAAGTACACAAGCATAAAACGGCAGAGCATTTATATTGCAGGTATTACACGAGTATTACTGTGAATTGGTGCAGGAGCTCAGACCAACTGAGTCTTGTTCTTTTGGTGCGTTAGAAGGAAAAATATGACAAAGTGGGAGTGTTGTTTTTAAAATAATGATGCAACACTGTGGTAAATACATCCCAGTCAACACTGTAAAGTATTTATAAATGCAAAAAGTACAAATACTTTTATAGGATGCTTGAAGTTTTAAACATTCTTAATTAATTACTGTCACTACTATATCAATAAGTAATGTTACAACTAGCTTGTAGTGCATTAAAGACGTGTTGTTATGAAGATAAAAGAGTCCTAATACTTTCTATAGATGTAAAACAGATGGTTGTTAGTCGTCGTCATGGATGCAGTAAAACTGTTCGCTGCCACAGAGCTCAAAAGCCATCTATCTCTTCATTAATGTAAGCTTGTTTTCCTTTCAACAAGGGAAAATTTTGGGCTGTAATGATTCATGCTGATAATTTGCTTTGCAGCTGTGATGCGGATTAACGAGTGACTGAATGCTGAAAACACAATAAAGTAGCACTAATATGTTCATATTAGCGTTGGATCAAATGAGTCAGCACACTGTGAAAAAGATGATCAGCTACRGAAATGATCCCAGTCTCTGTGGGACACCTGCAAAATTGAACTGTATTACATTCTGTGGTGTTCCAGCCCACATATGTAGTATTTCTCTTCAGTCGGTTGTCATCAGTCTTGTATCAGACAGCTGCCAGAACTAAAGGGCAGGGAGTAAACAGCAAGTAAGATAATCAATAAGTACATTTTTACATATTCTGAAAGTTAAAGTGGGGGTATTATGTATTTTCCAGCCACATAATTAAATTCTTTACCACAATCAACTATGATAAATTTGACTTTGCATCATCATCTATCTAAACACCTTGAAATTGGCCTCTGTCTTTTAAAGAACCTCCTACCATTTCTGACATTCCCACTTCAGCACAGCTTCACAACAATTCTTCAGAGGAGGGGTGCTCTGTTGCAGACTGAACTCCAGGGAGTGGCTTTGTATAAATAGGTGGAGCTTTTTACCAGCAAGCATTTAGGCAGCTCCACACGTCCAAGGACTTCTCAAACATTAATGAATGAGTCAAAGCAACACTCTGGGTATGCTTTTGAGGAGGAAATGATATGCCATGATATAAAGCTAAAAAAAGTCTTAATACTCCCCCTTTAAGATTTTGCAACTTGACTGAGAGCTACATGAGCGATAACACCCTTTAAGGTTGTTCTTGTCATTTACTCCCCACCTGCACAACACAAACAGCTTTCCTTTCTTTCCCTCCTCTGTTTCCACTAACAGATGGGGTATTTTTAGACATTTGCGCTCGAAGCAATTTCTGATTAAATTTTATAAACCAAAAGAGCCTCAAACCTCCAGTGATGTGACTATTTTTGTCTCGCAGCACATTCTTCCAGAATGCCGAGAGCAAAGGTTTTCCTTTTCTTTCCGTCTCTCTATCTGTGTCTGACAGCTTCTTGTTTTGTCACATATAATCTTGGCGGGTTCACCCCACTGCATCGTGCTCAGTCTGCTGCAGGTTTCAGGAAAATAACCCGCAGCAGGCCTGCAGACCAGAGCAGGGAGGTTGCGAGGTGACTAAAAAGACAAAGGTGGGTAAGGATGACGGACGGAGACAATGATGGAAAGCTGTTATTGGACTTGGAAGGACTGTGGACAACTTGGACAACGTGAGCCCTCTGGGCTAAGGCTAGCTGTCTGGCTGTGATTACAGTTTGGTACTTAACAGACTCCAAACACTGAGAGAGGAAGTGGTTTGGGGACAGCATGATCCGCATCTCTTGTTTGACCTTTAAATATTTTAAACTAAGTTTAAAAAGCATGAAAAAAAAAAACTCATTATTGTTGCAATAACAGCAGGAGAAATACACATTTATCATATTCTTTTCATCCAAGGCAGACTTCTGTTTTTCATTCATCTCAAATTCACAGATGACCTAGTTAGAACAGCACACCGAACAGCTGAAAGGTTTTGAGACATTTAATGGAACTGTAAGTTTTTTTTTTTTTTTGGGGGTGGGGGGGGGTACCCCTTAGAACTATCAAAAACTGTTTGTAGGAATGCATGTAGAGCTGCCTGTGCTGAACTGTGCCTGGGGTTATCCTCAGCCCAGCAGATTTTAAGCACTTTATCCCTCAAACACTGATGCGATAAGAGACAAGCCTGTTCAGTCCTTTGTTCACCAGCTGGGAGAGCGCGTTAGCCTCGACTGCTGCTGTGAGATCACCGGTAGATGAGAGAACTTAAGCATATTTTTAGACGAGCGTTTCATGTTGGGAATCTTACTTTCAAATAATGAGGGTGCCCTTCTCCTGCGCCTGCAACTCGAAAGATCAAAAGAGCGGTAAAGAGCCGCAGACAAGCGGACTTTCAAAGGTCTGGGTGGGGACCGCAAAGGACACCAGAGTCAAAATGTGAAATTTGTACGAGAATGTGGTCATGTTGACGTAAAAGCCAGGGAAATTATCAAGTGGGACAAACCCAAAAAGAAAAAAAGGGACCAAATGCTGTGAGATTTACTGTATATCTTTTTTGTTTAACTCTAAAAGTCAGAGACAATGAAAATGAGAGCAACCCAGTTAGTGTAACACAATTATTAGCAAAAGCAAAAAGGAGAAGGCATTTAGTTAAGTCCAAAATAAAATTATTTTGTATTGTTTTTAAGAGTTTGTGGGATTTAGGTTCACAAGTTTAATTGACTGTTCACATTACAATGCAGTGGTTTTAAGGATCAAATGAAATCGTGAAAAAGTTGGGACACTGTGTAAAATTTTAACCAAAACAGAATGCAATTATTTTCAAATTGCATAAACTATATTTTATTCACTATGAAATTACCACAGTAAACATATTAAATGTTAAAACCAGGAAATGTAACATTTAAAAAAATTCTCAATTTGATGGCAAAAAACACAAAATCTGAAATAATGAGATTTGAAAATCACTACATTCAGTTTTTATTTACATTTTATAAAATGTCCTGACTTATTTGGAATTGGGGATTGGAAATTACAAACTTTAAATAAACTTTTACTCACTTTTCCAGATTTTAAAGGAGACATGTCCTGCTTTTAAATCTTTTCCACATTCAAATCATTCAGTTGGGGTCTTTAAAAAGTGGAACTGCAATGCTTTGGTCTGAGTTGCTCCCTATTGTAAATCCACAAGCTCCACCCCTTTTCTGAGATGTGCCTCTGATCAACTCATTTTGAGGCTGTCTCTTTAATTGCAAATGAGGCACCTCACGCCCCGCCCCCTCCAGCTTCTTGAGTTGTTCATTGTAGTTTGAAAGGGGTGTTAAGCACAGAAATGTTTTATTTACAAATATATTAAAAGGTGTCAACAAGAGAAGACTTGTCCTTCCAGTCTTACATGTGGGAGCCAGAGTCTGACCCAGAACCAGAGGAGAATGAAGACCCTCAAATTGTAGGTGGTAAGTCCAGACCTTATTTGGTAGTTCCATTGGACATAATAGTTCAGAAAATATCATAGAGAATAAAGACAAATGAACGGGTAAAAAAAAATATGACCTAAACAGAATATAAAGAATTCTATGCAGCACCGAGAGAAACTGACTTCAAGTTTTCAGCACTTCTACAGTCTCCAAGCACACAACAAAATGCATTTCACAACCAAAAATGTGGATTTAGCGTGAATGCATGTCCTCTATAAAGGTGCTATATTTGTTTGATTGCATTTGGACTCACTATTGAGAAGATCAGAGCAAAAGTATGTCCAAAATGTGTTGCAGTTTTGTGTAGTTGACTTATACGACTCAGGCTGTTTAAGTCTGGGCTGAGTGAGGATGTGCACGTTGTCTCCCTGACTATAACATGTGATGGATGGGAGTCCATGCATCTACGTGTTGAAGACTTTTATACTACATCAGCCATATTTAACACATAATGAGCTAAGTTTGCTGATCGGACTTGTAATTTTGACAAAACATAATTAAACTTAAATGATTTGATTTCCTCATTTGAATAATTGTGCTAGACTTTAAATCAGCAAACAGAAAAAAAAAAAACAACAGCAATCTGCTAACCCGTTATGCTGCTCTGGCAGCTGTTTGCTTGTAGAAATCAGGGATATGTGTCGTGACTCTAGCGGAGAGCATTGTAACAGTAAACTGGTTTTAATCTGGTTTGTACACTATTAACCCACACATTTATTAAAATGACACATCTCCCACACAAAACCAATCAGCCACAACATTTAAACCGTTGTCATGTGAAAAAAAATACCATTAACACTGTGAAACCTTGAATCCTGATATTAAAACAGATGTTCTAAACCACCAACATAACACACCGTGTGGTAATAACACTCCTTTACAGAACCGGCCCTACACAGATGATAAAACACGCTACACCAGATACAGCTCAAAACCCAACTTTTAAATTCATGGAATTACAACCTGATTGAGCATTCATGAGATGCAACAAGCCCCGTCTACCGAGGTCCAGCTCTACAACTCTGACAAGCTAAAAGACCCATCAGGAGGCCCCACTTCCAGCAGATCAGAGCAGCTTTATGCTGCATCAGGACACAGTAGGAGGCTTTAATGATGTGGCTGATCGGTGGGTGATACAAAGTTTCGTCAGCTTTGTTTTGCTCACTCTCACGCCCCTCTGTTATTACCTTTTTTCTGGTGTGGTTTCGTTTTCTTTGCTCGCCGGTGCCTCCTGAAGATCCGGGAGGTTGGCAAAGTCATCCTGTTCAGCCAGCCCGATTGCTAGAGACAGAACAACCATCTTCCCTTCACTGGACACACAGACAAACAAGGAATCACAAGACCACACAGGTACAGTATGTAGAGACACAACAGCAAGGCGGGGCGGGGCGGGGCGGGGTGTGTGTGTGGGGGGGGGACACACACGTGCCGACAAGAAAACACGCACAAACAGGCAGTGACGGCAACACACCCAGCACATTCATTTTGTGTACAAAGAGAGAGTGGGAGAGAGGTGGTAGACCATTGTCAGGAATCTACAATGTTTTAACTTCACTTTTCACAGCATCTCATCCAAATCTGCATGCATTTCATGCAAGTGTACAGAAGTAATGAACATTAAAAAGCCCTTTAAATGTAAACAAGAGCTTTACTGACATTTGTAAAACATTGGATTGTTCTATTTTATGCATACACTAAATAACCTTAAATACCACCAAATATGCATATTTAACTCTATGTTATGCTAATATGCCACAGGTGATATCAAAATCAAAACAACAGCAAAAAAAATTAAAATCATTTTTTAATGTTTTGGTAAGTAAATTTTCTATATGTGACTCATCACATCAAACCAAAGGATTAAATCTGAATGTGGAGAAATAATCAGCAATAGTGCATTGGTTAAAACGTTTACAACAATTACATTTAGTCAAAAAATATAATGAATGAATACCTCATCTAGAGTCGTTTTACTGAAATTTTTTAAATATACTCTTACATCATTTTTGATCCTTTTTTTGAGCAGTAGCCACAAAAAAACATGATTTTGAGGAGCAAACCTTTAAATTAGTTAAATTAATTTAAAAAATTCGGCATTTTCCCAGGTAGATGGCAAAGCTTTTCTCTTTGAAGCTGGTAAATCTTAATAACCAAATCTTATTTTAGGTTTGCTCTTTAAAATGACATCAAAAATCCCTCATTAGAATAACCTAAAAATGGTAATCAGACCAAAAATCGATGAGTTATTCTGATTAAGAAGACAAATCGAGGCATACCTCTGGAACCACTCATGATATCAGGATATTCAGGTTTCAAAATGTAGATTAAAAGCAGGAATCTGTACATGTACTGAGGTYATTTTGACCAAATTTAACTTAATCGTCAGTTTGATGTGATGGGTCTCAAATCAGAAAATTAAAACCAGRATGAAAAGCAACAGTCACCTAAATTATTTATCCACATCCCCAGTTTTTGGGTTTGTTTTCCCTTTGTTGTTTAACAAATAAGAATAAGAAGCAGATGAGTCACTGGGAACTGGTCTTTATCTTTTATTACGCTGTAAAGCTTTGCTATTAAAAAGAACAAAGACTTGGAATTAAAGTCTTCTTCTCTCTTCAATGACAGTGGCTGTTAATACCCAGTGCACTGTTTGCTGCAACATTAGGATTAACGGTTTGTTCCAAAGAAATAGATTGCTGTTTTATGGTGCAAGGCTATTTATTACATAATAATTCTTTATATTTTTTAGTTCTTTATCACTAAAAGGATGTTGCGTGGGTTACAGTTTGATAGCAGGTTGTGTATTACAGAAGATGATATAAAATATATTTATTTACAACCAACAWTATCCATCCATTTTCTTTACCCGCTTCTCCATTTGGGTTATAGGAACCTGGTGTCTATCTCCAGCAGGGTTATAAACATAACATAGCATTAATGTTTTTGGTCAGTGGGAGGAAACCAAAGTGCCCAGAGAAAACCCACACCTGCACGGGGAGAACAAATAAACTCCACACAGAAAGAGACCTGGCTGGGAGGAGATCCTGCAACCTTCTTGCTGAGAGAAGACAGCTGTACTCTACTGGTTTTGAAAAAGGAGAGCAGTATTTTCACAAGAATGACATAAATTTTTATAACACCAATTTAAGTAATATTAATGCRTCTGTTTCTTATACATGTGTTTCCATGAACTAAAAATATATACTTAGCACATAAAGTAAGAAAATATGTGTTTGGTGTCTTATTTCTTTGCTGTAACAATGCTATTTGGCAATAAATCTTTTASTGTTGGAAAGCCTGTTAATTTAACCTCTGGTACCCCCAGGTGCTGCCAATCAGGTGAGTAAGATTTATTGCCAAGAAGCATTGTTACAACAAAGAAACAATTTAACAAACACAAATGTCCTTACTTTATGCGGTAAGTTCAGATTTTTTATGGTTCTGGAGAAGTGAAAAGTAATTGACAACAGAAGTGAAGAAAAGCAATARGATTCATAAAATTGAGGCGGACCTAATAAAACACCTACAACAAAGAAACATATAATGTGGTCGTTTCAGCTGTTATTGTTTCTCTAAACATGCCTGAAGTTATTCAAATTACCTTTTACTAAGGTTCTCTGCACTCTGAAGTCAAGAGGTCCTGCAAATTGTGCTCTTTGCTAAAAAAATGTGCTTATTTACTTAGCCCAGTGTGAAAGTGTTTTTTTTTTCTTTTCTTTGTTCCTCTGTTAGGAGACTGTGAAGGTGGATCTCCTGTCTGCTGTTTCTCTGCTCTGATGGCTCTGATGGACCAGGTTTCTTTTTTTAATATGACAAACAGATTTACAGGTTGTAGCTTTAGAGCTCATTGAAGGAAGAGGCTAAGACAGAGCAGCAGACACACATCAGCAACAAGAAAGAAAAGAAAAACAACACTAGAGACTCTCATGGTGGCAGCATCAGCAGTCTTTTTGGATTTTCCATGATTTTCAATATACACAATCAGTAAATTAAATCTAGTTTTAATGATGAGCCAGACACTGACAGTAGCAAACTGACTAAGCTGAATAAAATTAGTTGGAGCAAAAGATAACAATGGATCACAGGTAACTGTGTCTTCATGATTTCATAGCAGATGCCTTTAATCTTGTTTCTTTTATCTCCCCAAATAACATTTATACTTTTCAGCCTGAATGCACATTTTGTATGGCGTGCTTTTCTCACCGAGATGCTGTTTGTAGTGGCAGTATTGACAACGAGAGGAACATATTAGCACTGGAGAGACAGAGGCCCACTGGGGATGCATAAGCACCACAAACATGATGCTCATTGATGAGCTGAACAAATTTGTATAGATGATGGAGAAAAAGACACATGCACTCCAAGCAAATGATGCTGAAATCATTACCACCTACAGCAGGTCTATTGATCTGAAGTGAAGGAGAGGTGGAACAGGATCCAACTGAAAGTGAAGCCGCTACATTTCACCGTTTATACCTCACTGATCATAAATGCATGACTTTCCTTTTCCCCACTGGGTCAACAACTGTTTGGTCCAATGGGATTTCTAAAGGAGAGGGGCTATGTCCCCTCAGGATGTATGTGCTCATCCTCTTTTCAATGATGATTCAGACCACTGGCCTGAAGACACAATAATGCGTATACATGTAGAAACTACAGAAGCAGAAGGCTTTGGTTAACAATGTGTGTGTGAGTCTGTTTGTGCTCAGCAGGAGAGGCAGGTGACACCGAGAACATCATCTATCATTCAAGTCAAGCAAAGCAGGAGAGCTCTCCTCACTCAGTAACTCAAACTGGGGTCTCTGCACATGACCAGTTGTCTGATTCTGTGATGGATTAGAAAAACGTCATAAAACCTGTGATAAAGACTGTTTAACTGTYCAGTGCATGAAAATTCCTTTTCAAATCCAGTTATTTCTAGATACTTTTGGAACTTTATTCAGTTGTAGTGTACATTCTGAGGCTCAGTATGTTTCCTTTCATTAAGTGGAGCATTTATTTAGAAAGTGTGTGTTTTACTGATCCACTTGGCAGAGGTTCAAAGTAACAAAGTACATTTACTTTGTTACTGTACTCAAGTAATTTGTTTGAGGATCTGTAATTTTATCTAGAATTTTTTAATCACAAACTTTACTTCTATTCTGTTACATTCAAAAGTAGGTAGGTAGGTAGGTAAGTAGGCTTGTAAGAATACATGTATGTATGTATGTATGTATGTACAGTATGTATGTATGTATGAATGTATGTGAGTAGGTAGTTAGGTAGCTAAGTAGGTTTGTACATGTATGTATGTATGTGTGTATGTATGTAAGTAGGTAGTTAGGTAGCTAAGTAGGCAGGTACATGTATGTATGTATGTGTGTATGTATGTAAGTAGGTAGTTAG